CACCGCCGCCGCCATCCCCGCCATCGCCCCGCTGCCGCCGCCCCGCCCCGGCCCCGCCCGGCCGCCCCCCCCGCGGGTGTAACGAGTGCCGCCAGGGCTCAGCCCCGCGGCGTCCCCCGCTTTGCTCGGGTCCCTCCGCACCGGCACCCCCTCCGAGCGACCGAGGAAGAAACTGCCCTCCCCCCGGTATCCATCTCCGTTCCCCCTGGACCCGAAAGCAAGCACGTCTCCCTCGCCACTGGCACCTCATCGGCTCCACGCCTGTGCCAGCCCCAGCACCCATATTGCCACGCATATTCATCAATTAAAAAAGAAAAAAAAAATCAACATTTCCTGGGTAAAACCCAGGAGTATCCGTGTCCAAATCTGGAAGCTTAGAAAAAAGCCAAAGGAAGGGAAAAAACTAACGTGGCTCAAAACCTAATATGGTACATACGCACCCTGTACTATCAGTCTGTTGCAATTGTGAACACTGCACACAACTGAAATAATTTACAGCTTGATTTGCTGGGGGTAGCCAAAGCATGTGTTGCTGTCACTGCTGGCCTGTATCCATCCACAGCCCCCCGTGCAGCCCAAACCGCACGCAGCGAGTTCCCCCCAAACGCGCACCCCTGCTGTGCGGTGGGGGACAAAGGGGGTCTCCGTTTCAGCCGCGTGCTGCTGCCAAGGATGGCCAAAACACTGCTGCTGGCACCACGTAGTACGGCAACCCTCCAAGAGAGAATTCAAACCATTTGTTTCATATTTTAGGTCTGACTCAGGATGTGCTGGGCGCCAGGCAGTGTTCCCCGGCCGGCGGCGTTGAGGCTGATAGACCTTAATGCTGCACCCACCGCCTGCGCTGGCTGCCCGGCCACCTCGGATGGAGAGGCACCTCCTCTTGTGGGTCATATCCCAAGCCCTGGATGCACTAAACACTTGTTTGAGCCATCCTATCTGACTAAAATGAACATTGTTGTTTGAAAAATGTCTAAAGAACCTAAAGATCATAGCTGGCTGTACCATTCGCTGAGATGTGACGGCAAATTTTCCTTGAAAATTATAAATCAGAAGTTTTTCTTCATTGCTGATATACGGTGCCTCGATGTCCCAGGAGACACTGTCCGTTTGCTTGGTGACTTTGGACTTCAGTCACTTATGATTCCTCTGCTTATACTCAGCACAGGTCCTACTTACACAGTTACGTGGGAAACCATTGCTGTTGAATAGGAAAACAAGGTAAGCATTGCCCATTCAATTCACTGTATGGTAGAGGAGGCCCCCAAAATCTGTTTGAAGTTAGATATGAGAGTGGTATGAGCCACACCAGCCAGCAATACCTGTGTAGATCATGGCCATCCGAGGCAGCAGTCCTGAGGCTGCCTGTGAGGTTGTCCAAACCTGGCCAGGCACAGACCGACTTCGCTCTGCTTTGAAGGTGTCGGTTCTTCCTTGCAGGTCAGAGGGGCTCTCTTAATGAAGACAATAGTGGTATTTTTAGCTGAATATTGAGGCACATGGGAAATCAGTCCCACATGGAGAACTGGAAGCGGATCAAGTAATGCTACATGCCGTAAGTGCTCTCTGAACAGAGCTGGTATATGCTGTGCGCACTCAATTACTGGTATGCCATTAGCCAAGGTCTCCAGCATGACTGTGCTGAAGCTCTAGCAGGACACAGTATGACACCAGAGGATGGCTTTGCTCGACTGTTTTGATTTATTAAGCACTGCTGAATTATCTCACAGACAAGGCGGCCATCTACTGAACCAGGAGACTAAGAGACAACAGCACCTCACCACCTCAGAATTTAACTAACAACCAGCCGTGTTGCATCCTAACATGACAGATCCAGGAGCTGTAGAGCTGCTCAAAAGGCGTTTGCTTGGCTCCACACAGTGGTTCAAATCTGTACAGCTGCCGCAGATCAGACTTCTCTGGTTTTTGAAGAGCCACAGTAAAAGGAAACCAGTGCCAGTTTAAAGCAGTGGTTTTCACTGGCCCACAAGACAGGTTTTGGTTTGTGAACTCCTCTAGCCGCTTTCCAGTAGATACAGAAGTTTAAGCTGGGTTGAAGTTTGTCATATAATCGCTTTGCTTTTCTTAGTCATTTCCCCTGCGTCCCATAGATGGTGTTCACAGACCACTCTGGGGTCTGCTGGCAGCGTGCCGACAGCCTCCGCTTGGACAACGATTAAGAAGATCGAGTGTATACAAGCATGTTATACGGCCACGCTGCGCAGTCAGAGTTACCAGAGTTTTCTTAGAGTCTCTGTGGTGGGACAGGGATTGAGATAGAGCCAAATAGAAAAGGAGAGGGACAGAAGGGAGCAAAGCCAGAAGGAAATTGAGCCAACAAAGATTCAAGTAGGCAGTGGGAGAGGGACTTGGGGCAATGCAGAGAAGAGGTACCTTTGCCACCATGGCTTGTTAGACTGGCCCCAACCATACAGGGGCTGTACTGTCCCAGGTGGTTTGATGACAGACTAGGATATGTCAGTGTAATACAGGATTTCACTTATATTGGAAGTTGGCCGTACCAGCTTTCATCTGAACAGCCTACCTACAAAGTCTTCTGCAGCCAGGTAAGTTGTCAAGTCAGCTGCTTCCAGCCCAGCAGCAGATGTGGATGTGAGGCCACAGTTAGAGGGAAGTTCTTTTGAGCACTACACGAGCCAGTCCCTTGATCCTCTACATACTCACACAACATGCCCTTTTTCTTTACAGAAAGGGGTGATTTCCACTTGACTGTGAGACCAGTGTAATCCTCACAGGTAAAACAGCAGCCCCAAGAATAGTTACCCACTAGTGTCCCCCTAAAACTAGGCAACTTCAGAAAGAAAAAGAAATGTGACTTTTTCTTAAGCTCTCTGCACACCTGCAGCTCTTCAAAAAAGTCCCTAACTCTCACATTTTGCAAGTAAAGTGTTTTCAGCTGTTGCTGCAGCAGCTCATGCTGGTTGCTGATAAGGCGCATCCAGGTGCCACTCACAGCCTGGAGCCCCAGGCAGGATGGGCTTCTCCTTCCTTGTGCTCACTCTTAGCCATTGTAAGCAGCTCTGTGCTGCTCTGCTTTGCAGCATCCCTCCTCCCTCTTGCTCATCTCCCCTCCACTATACACAGATATTGGGGGAACAATGGGGAGCAACTGGCCAGCTGCCCAGGAAGGGGGAAATGGGGCCACGCACCCGCTGGGCCCCTGCTCTCCGCCCCAGGAGCTGCCCTGGCCTCACCGGGATGAAGGTGAGGCTTCCCAGAGGAGGAGGCTCGCAGCAGCAGTGGTGATGTTTCACAAGGAAGGGAATTGCTTTCCCCTCTGGAGCTGGGATCTGGAGAGGGACTGAGCTTTGCTCATCAGCACAAGACTGGCTGCAGCCCCAGCCAATGCAGTGAGAGGTGGCAGAAAGACCTGGGTCATCCTGCAAAGGATGACAAGAGGACAAGAAGAAACAGCCTCAAGCTGCGCCAGGGGAGGTTTAGGTTGGACATTAGAAAAAACTTCTTCACCAAAAGGGTAGTCAGGCACTGGCACAGGCTGCCCAGGGGAGTGGGTGAGGGCCCATCCCTGGAGGTATTTAAAAGACGGGTAGATGTGGTGCTTAACAACATGGTTTAGTGGTGGACTTGGCAGTGCTGGGTTAACGGTTGGACTCGATGATCTTAAAGGTCTTTTCCAACCTTAACAATTCTCTGATTCTATGAAAATGCAGCCACCCTTCCCTGCTCCTTACAGTGCTGAAACATCTCCCCTGGATCAGCCTGGTTGTGTCATGGAGCTTCACACCTGGAGTGCAGGCGTTACTGCTGCAGCACATCATCTTCCTCCTCCTTGGGCACCAACAATTTTCTGGCTTTTATAAAACAAATAAGCAGGATCACTGCTAATTTCAGATGCATTTCCCTATAGGGAACCCACTAGGCTGCAGCTTGTAGCAACACTCCCCCACCCTGAACATTTAGTGAAATATTTCATCCTCTAAAAGAATAATCTTATAGACAAACCTTCAGGACCTTTCGCAGCTCACAGTAGTCTGCCTATTCATAGTCACTTCATTTTCACACTAATAGGGTGGGTAGGAGCCCATACATCTAGAACAGGAGAAGGCAAGCTCTCTAAATCAAGCTAATCCCTTTTCACACTGTACAGTCTACAATACAGCTAAGCAGCTTTAATTCTCATTAGCAAAGTACTGCAGTACAGGAGAGCCATTTCATTTCCCTCTAATGCACTACAGCAAAACTGTATCTAGAACTGTTAGGTAATAGGCAGTTATTTTCTCCTAAAGATTTCCACAGATATGGAACAGTTTGGATTTCATGGAATTTGCAGATTCTTCTTTGAAACTGAGATGATGCATTTTCCTGGTTTATTCTGTTCTTCCCCATTTCTCTCGCCCTCTTGCTGTCAACAAGAAAGAGGAAGAGGGGAAGGAAAGCAGGAAGAGCCAGGCAAAAATATGCAAATCCCAGAAAAAATAGAAATCACAATAATTTTTTTTTTTCTAGTTGCTATTTCCCTAGGGGTTAAAGCCACTTCAGCAGCAGCTTTTCAGAGTCATGGAGAATGTGAAAATTTTTTTCCCCCATAATATAGCTGCCAGTTGTTGCTGTAGTCAACTATACAAACATCATCTTTTCCTCTTCTTTATATCCTCTAGATGGTGCTTGTGTATCACTTTCTACACAAAATAAATCACTCTGCTACTAATCAAGCTTGGAAATGGATTTGAAGTGCTGTGCTACAGGTCACTAGGAGCAGAGGTTTGTGGTGGACACACTGCGTGGTTACCCGATCCAAGCCTCTGTCAGAGAAAATGATTGTCCTCAGCCTCTTCTCAAATGTGAGATACAGGACAGAAAAAATCCTGTGGCACATTTTACTGGAATTTATGAAGATTAAAATCTGATTGTATTTCCTCTGTATTGCACCTTAACATGCTGGTGATACACAAGGGTTCACCCCTTCTGTGCACACTCGTGTCCAGTGGCAACTGGAGTTACAGAGCACACAGCATATCAAGTGTATGTCCAAAAAAATACAT